GTTGCAAAAAAGCGAACATCATTCTGGGATGTATTAGCAGGAGTGTGTTTTAAGCAAGACACAAGAAGTAATTCTTCCGCTCTACTCCGTACTGATTAGACTTCAACTGGAGTATTGTGTCCAGTTCTGGTCGCCACATTTCAGAAAGATGTGAATAAATTGGAGAAAGTCCAGAGAAGAGCAACAAAAATGATTAAAAGGCTAGAAAACATGACCTCTGAGGAAAGACTGAAAAAATCAGGTTTGTTTAGTCTGGAGAAGAGAAGACTGAGAGGGGACATGGTAACAGTTTTCAAGTACATAAAAGGTTGTTACAAGGAGGAGGGAGAAAAAAATATTCCCATTAGCCTCTGAGGATAGGACAAGAAGCAATGGGTTTAAATTGCAGCAGGGGAGGTTTAGGTTGGACATTAGGAAAAATTTCCTGTCAGGGTAGTTAAGCCCTGGAATAAATTGCCTAGGGAGGTGGTGGAATCTCCATCATTGGAGATTTTTAAGAGCAGGTTAGACAAACACCTGTCAGGGATGGTCTAGATAATACTCAGTCTTGCCTTGAGTGCAGGGGACTAGACTAGATGACCTCTCAAGATCTTTCCAGTCCTATGATTCTATGACTCTAAAGTGTTCAGTTATACATGGAAATGTGAACATTAGCATTTTTTCCTATTATTTTGAGAAAAATTCTAAAAGACATTTTTGCAAATCCTAAATGAAATGCAAACATCTTGCAGTTCAAGGATTTAAAATTTTGCACGGCTATTTCGAATGGAGTTTAGTCATGTAGGATTGGAACTAAAGGGTTGCAAGATCAAGCTTCTAGCAATGACCTCTTCCCTATCATTTATTTAGCAGAAAATGTCTTCAATTTGAAATCATGCACTCTAGATATTACACTTATAAAACTCACTGTGATTTTATGCTGTGCTTAAAGTCATGAAAGTGACCATGTGAAGCTGAAACCAAAAGGAAGAATAAAAAATTATTACATTTCCAGTGGTATCAGATTTAGATTTTATGTAACATTTGCCTAATTAATTCATAATAATTCAGTCAGTTCAAATGTACAGATTACTCACTACCTGGGGATTTTCATTAGGATATAGAATCTATTGGTCTTGCTTGTCAGTTAATGTGAATATCTATAATCAAGGATGATAAAAAAAAAACTTGCACAACTTGAAACTACTATCCTGTATATAGCAAAGAGATACTACTGTACATATTCACCTTCCAGAAATGTTAAGACAGCAGCAAGGAAAAACATTCTCATATTGTCCGTTAAGGGTATGTCTACACAGCATTTTGGAGCAAGTAGGAGTGAGCCTGCCAGAGCCCAGGTCGACAGAACACCTGTATAGACAGTGCTTTCAAGTTGCAACTTGGGCTGAAACTCAGGCTCAGAACCTAAGGAGGGGGCTCACTCCAAATTGCAGTGTAGACGTATCATAAGTGTCCTGAACCCTAAAGTGAAGAGGATTGAAAACTGAAGAGCTGCTCGGTCTTGCACCTCTTTAGAGTAGACCAATAACGTCAGACAAGAGGAAGATTTGGATGCTCCATGTATTAAAAAATTATCCACCTCGACTGTGTGGGAAAGAAGTGCTCATAACCAAAATTGCAACTGTCCAGCCATATGGTTGTGATGCTGGCAGACCAGGTGCCAGCTCAGTGGAATGCTGACAAATACACCTACCTCGATATAAAGCTGTCCTCGGGAGCAAAAAAATCTTACCGTGTTATAGGTGAAACCGCGTTATATCAAACTTGCTTTGATCCGCTGGCGTGCGCACCACCCCCCCCCCGGAGCACCGCTTTACCGCGTTATATCCGAATTCATGTTATATCGGGTCGCGTTATATCGGGGTAGAGGTGTACATAGCCGGAACCAGTCTGGCTCACCTGTGTATTAGCATTGTTAAAATAGGCATTAGCATTATAAGAATGTGTTTAGACTTTATTGAATGCTTGTGAGTTGCTGCATATATTAATCTCAGTTATAGTGTCTGTATCCCATACTGTAGGGTAGTATGTCAGTGTTTACATTGTAAGCCTCTATAACTGTGTAAATCAGCAGACAGGAGGGAGACATTAACTCGTGTGAAATGCTGGTCTCCAACAAAAGGCGTTATGTCCTGTTCGACAAGGAAGGCCCATCGACACCAGAGGGACTAGAGTGGAACGTTAAAGAGGACAAAAGACTTTGTTGTTTACTCCCCCACCCCATTAAGATGAGTCTTGTAAGTGAATTCCTCCCTGAGTTTAAGCTGAGTTTGCAGCTTAAAGCAGAAGGGGGTGGGGGAGAAAGGGAATAAAAACCCCTAACAAGGAGGAACTGTATACCATTGCTTCTTGGACTCTGTGGGGCAAGGTTTCTAGGCATAAGCAAAGGATCCCCAGCTGCTTAGCTAGAGTTAGCCCTAAAGGACATACAAAGCTTGCTTATTACAGAAGCTTCTATTACCTTTTGATACTTGAGAGTAACTCATTTGCACATATATGTTTACTTGCTTTAACCTTGTAAATAACTCTCGTTTCTTTTCCCTATATAATAAATCTTTAGATAGTTCATTACAGGATTGGCTAAAAGCATTGTCTTTGGTGTAAGAGCTAAAGTGCAACTGACCTGGGGTAAATAGCTGGTCCTTTGGGACTGGGAGTAACCTGAATATTGCTGTGATTTTTGGTGTAAAGGAGCATCTGTCACAAAGGTAAGCTTACCTGGGTGGCAAGACAGACGGAGTACCCAAGGGACTGCCTGTGACTCCTTGGTAAGGCTGGCACAGTGCTTGAAGAGTTTAAACTTAACATTTGGTTGGTGAAATCTACGTACAGAACTCACCACTAATCTGAGGGCTTGTGCATCGCTTCCTTACAGTCTGCCCTGAGTTTGGTACTCATGCTCTTGAGTCACTGCAGGACCGTTTGATAGGAGGCTAAAGCTTTCTTTGCCTTGTGAGTTTTTCAGTGTAAGAGCTGCTGTGTGTGTACAGTGCCTCTCACAAGGGACCCCTGATCTCTGTCTGGGCCTTTAGGAACTACTGAAGTTCAGATACAAATAAATATTTTTTATATCTTTTTCAAATAGATAAACGCATCTAAATACTCTTATAGACTAGACTGCATGGGCCTAATGCTGGACACCTAGTGCAAAAATGAAGAAATCAGGCCTTATACAAGGGATTTCTGTGGGGAGGGGAGGGGGGGAAATCAATTCTCTCCTTCAATCACTGGGAACAGAGAACCACTGAAGCTGCTCTGAAGCCACTAAGAGAACCCATGTGCAACCATAAATTCAGAGATCCACCTGCTCCGGGTGAGTATTTATGCCAGCTGATCAGGGTAGTCACAGAACTAAGATCCCTCTGCTGTGCTGCAGAACACTACCACGTGGCTTGCTGGCGGCATGTACTCCCCTTGGTGTCCCCGTTCATAAAGAAACCCTGGCTGTTCCACTACGTCTTAGGGCCTTCCACACATAGGAGGGCAGAAGCAGGATTTGGCCCTACTGACGCCTTCATAAACATGATTTTAAAGGTGCTTGGCTCATTTTGAGTTATTTCTCCCACTGTTTAATCTTAGAGATCACAGAAATTTAGGCATCCTCGTTTTACCAGTAGCTGATATAGATCCCTTTATGGAAAAGTCTTAGAGAATTTAATAGGGTGGAGCCAATAGTTAGGGTTACACCACCTATAATTCTAGAGAAGGGATGTACATTTCTATTACATTCTACAGCATGCTTCTGAAGTTTCATAGAAAAGATACAATTTTTTCCTCAATTTCTACAGGATTTTTCCATAAAGATCCATCTGAATGAACTAGAGCAGACAGCAGGCCTTCCTGTTTTAAGTATTTGTTTGTCCAAAGGTGTGGCGGGAATTCCTTCTGGATGTCAGAAAGCACCAGGAAGATTAAATAATTGGCAGTGCTGCTAGTATAAGAGCTGGCATAAATTCTCAGTATCTATTTCTTGCTGCTTATAAGCATGCAAGGGAGGAGAGTGAATTTTCAGGCAGCACATTTCTCCAAAAGGACAGTGACAGGGCGTTGAACATCCCAGTTAATTGACTATTTTGGAAGCATATTTATAAGTCCTTTGTTCCATATAAAAAGGCTGATCGCTACGCTGACATTAACACAAAACTGCTCAGCAATAAAGCAGACCTGAGGCATTTTCAACATTATTTGCCCTTGTCATCTTCAGGCCTGATTTAGAGTTTCAGCTTTTGAATTTACTGGGCTCTAAAATATCATTTGAAGCTCAAATCTTATCAGTGAAGCTCAAATTACCTCCCACCTTTCTTCCTTTATTTTTATGCAAAACGTTTGATGCCTGATATTCTTATGATATGTGGACTATAACAATGGTTTAAAAGATTCATTCCCTCCATGTGCATACACTGAAACAAACATCTACATTTTTTGGCAGCAATTGCTATTATAGCAGGTGTCTGAAGCCTGAAAACAAAACAATACATGTAGGCCCTGTGGGGACCTTTTCTAGAGTGAGCTTTGGTGGCTGTGGGGGGAATCCTTCCTTATAGGCAACATTTACTTCTGAACAAGAATAACACGTTTAGAACTTTAACCAGCCTGGGAAAAACACCATTATTATTTCTTGTTGTCCATCTCCATATGGGATCAAATCCAGATTCCTATCAATTTCTTACTATCCACACACAGCATTGTTGGAGATTTTATCGTTCATGGTTCCTTGCTAATTAACATCACCATGTGAAATTATTTCTCAGTGCCAGGTGGAAAGCACCAAGTGTAACTCTGAGCTCAATAAACAGAACATACTCTATGGCTGGTTTATATTTCAGCTTGTGGCTTGACAATGAACTTCTCAGAATTGAAGATTTCAGGAGCTGGTGGGATTTTTGTAAAACAAACATCTTTTTGAAAGAAAACACGGCTTTTTCCCCCTCCAGGTGCCAAATTCACTGAATGAAGCATGTGACATAGTATAACACCAGGTGTCTTTGGCAGTACCGTACCTGGATGGATAGCCAGCTGCACTGATACGGATGGTCTCCAACACACCACAGGCTCTTAACTGCTGGACTGCTCTCTTTGGATCAAATCTGCAATTACACGTTATGATGATACAGATGAGCACAGTTTCCCACTCCATGCACAAACTGAAAAGAAACCTAGCAGCAGAGTATCCGGAGGCAATGACAAGAATATTTACATTGGCAACCTTTCCAATACAGCTGGGTTTCATTTCTGCTTATATACACAGCACGTACAGAAAGAAACTCAGCCATTTACGTTCTCCTGCATGTTGGGAGAGCTCAATTTGCTGTAGCCTGGAACTCCTTGATTGGAATTCTTTGAGCAGGTGGATTAACCTGTGACTTATGCAGCACCGTTAAAGGTTTTCAGGAGAAAGAGCTGAGTTGCTGGCTAACAGAAAGATAGACATCACTGGGCAGAAAGAAGGATGTCATGACTGCACCACAGCATAACCTATGATAAACAGTACAAGGTGCTTTTCTGCATAGCCAGAAAACCCATTCATTTGAGGTCTATAAGATGCTACATTTGTAACAACCGTGTAATAAGGTTCTGCTGTAAAGGACAATGAAATTCTTAGGGAAGACAACACCAACTTCAATATGAAAAAACTTTCTATACAATCAATACTATTACAACTAATACCAAACAAAGTAATGATTAGATCCCACTTAACTGGCTTTGGAAACCATATGAATTTAATGTGGTTTAGGAACTTTAATCTTCGTTCCAATGGAACTTTGCTATCTTAGACGGCACAGAGCCATATTCTATTCTGGTTCTGGGCACTGAACCCACATTGAGATCAGCCGGTGTTCATACAGAACAAGCATAGTAGACAGAGTCCATTTTCCACACCATGTGCACACGGAGGTCCTGATTCTCCACTCTTTGGCACCAGACACTGCATTTCAATGGGACTGCCCTGGGGTAAAACAGGTGCAATAGAGCAGAGATTCATAGATTCCAAGGTCAGAATGCACAATTGTGATCATCTAGTCTGACCTCCTGTATATCACAGGCCATAGAACTTCCCCAAAATAATTCCTAGCGCACATCTAGAAAAACATCTCATCTTGATTAAAAATTGTCAGTGATGAATAATGCACCACAACCCCGGTAAGTTGTTCCAGTAGTTAATTACCCCCACTGTTAAAAACATTTCACCTTATTTCAAATCTGAATTTGTCTAGCTTCAACTCCCAGACATTGGATCATATTGTATAGATTTGTCTGCTAGACTAATGCGCCCATTATTAAATATTTGTTCCCCATATAGGTATTTACAGACTGTAATCAAGTCACTCCTTACCCTTCTCTTTGTTAAACTAAATAGATGGAGCTCCTCAAGTCTATCGCTATGAGGCATGTTTTCTAATCATGTAAGCATTCTTGGGGCTCTTCTCCAAATCCTCTCCAATTTGTTAACATCTTTCTGGACTTGTGCGACCAAACTGCACACAGTATTCCTCAAGATTCCCATTTATGCATCCAAGGATTGCATTACTCCTTTTGGCCAGAGTGTCACCCTGGGAGTTTGTGTTCAGCTGATTATCTATCACAATCCCCAAACCGTTTTCAGAGTGTCTGCTTCCCAGGATAGAGTCCCTCATCCTATATGTATGACCCACGTTCTTTGCTCATAGATGTATACATTTAGCCACATTAAAAACGCATATTGTTTGCTTGCGCCCAGATTACCAAGCGATTATTATCATTCTGTATCAGTGACCTGTCCTCTATTATTTACTAGTCCCCCAATTTGTGTGTCATCTGCAAACTTCATCAGTGATGATTTTTTGTTTTCTTCAAGTTAATTGATAAAAAAAATATTAAATAAAGTAGGGCCAAGAACTGATCCCTGCGAGACCTAGAAACAAACCCGCTCAGTGATGATCCCTCATTTACAATTACATTTTGACACCTATCAGTTAGCCATCTTTTAATCTGTTTAATGTGTGCCATGTTAATTTTAGATCATTTTTCTCTTTTAATCAAAATATTGTGTGGTACCAAGTCAAATGCCTTACAGATGTCTATGTCTATTACATCAACATTGTTAACTTTATCAACCAAACTTGTAATCTCATCAACAAAAGATATCAAGTTTGTTGACAGGACCTATTTTCAATAAACCTGTGTTGATTGGCATTAATTATATTACCCTCCTTTAACTCTATATTGAGTAAGTCTTGTATCTGCAGCTCCATTATTTGCCTGGAATCAATGTCAGACTGACAGACCTGTAATTATCCAGGTCATCCCGTTTACCCTTTTTAAATATTGGCACATCAGCTGCTTTCTTCCAGTCTTCTAGAACTTCCCCAGTTCTCCAAGTACCTATTTAAGTACCTAAATGTGGATTTAGGAACTTAACTTTAGGCTCATACTTATTGAAGATCAACATTAAATGGTCCAGGGAGGCCCTAAGCCATCTCTTTTAAAACTCTTGGATGCAAGTTATCTCGACCTGCTGATGTAAAAGGGTCTAATTTTAATAGCTGCTGTTTAACATCCTCCTGAGATACCAGTGGAATGGAAAGAGTGTTTTCATCATCATACGTGATGACTACATCATCCGCTTTTTCCCAAATGCAAATTTTTCCAAATTCAGAAACAGCCCCATAATTCTCAGCACCATTAGTACCACGAATTGCCACATTCTGGCCCAGTAAGGTACTTGGATTGGAAACAATCCATACACTATTTTGATGGTCAACCTTACAGAGACATACAGATGCCTCTGGGTAGCATCTGTTTATTTCAGGCACTACCCTAACTGTGTGTGGTAAGGTGACACTGCTCATCAAGGGGAGAACAGGTCCCTATATGTATGTTGGGATTCTGAATGTCCCTAATGTTTCAATCTGGAGATCAAGAATTCATGAACAATTTTTAAATTGCTCAACTGTGCTAGAGCAGTGTAAGAAATATACCTCTGCTATTTTCCTCATTTTTAAACTCAGCAGTGCTGTCAAGTCCACACCGAGTTATCCATTATAATACCAACAAGAAAAAGAGCAGAAGTTTAACCTGTCACTCACTCCAGACAGGAATCCAAGGGGGTACAATTTTAATAATAATAAATAATAGCAATGTTAGCAACTTTCATCCTGGAGGATCCCAAAGCAATTTATGCTGTATATAAAGAGATCTCTCTGAAATGCAGCCACCTGCTCTAAACCAGTCACCTTGCAGGTGGAACATAGCAATCAGTCTTCACCCGTAACACTATTCAGCATAAGAAGAGTCAAATAACCTCTCCAACTAAACTATACAGGGAACTTTGTGTCAGTAGATTCTCTTCTGCAGACTAAACAATATAAGATTGAGGAGGGATTTGATAGCTGCTTTCAACTACCTGAGAGGGGGTTCCAAAGAGGATTGATCTAGACTGTTCTCAGTGATACCAGATGACAGAACAAGAAGCAATGTTCTCGAGTTGCAGTGGGAGAGGTTTAGATTGGATATTAGGAAAAACTTTTTTACTAGGAGAGTGGTGAAGCACTGGAATGGGTTACCTAGGGAGGTGGTGGAATCTCCTTCCTTAGAGGTTTTTAAGGTCAGGCTTGACAAAGCCCTGGCTGGGATGATTTAGTTGGGGATTGGTCTTGCTTTGAGCAGGGGGTTGGACTAGATGACCTCCTGAGCTCCCTTCCAACCCTGATATTCTATGATTCTATGATATTCACTCAAAATAACATTTGGCCAAGTTACTTGAGTTAACTCTCTCTTCTCTAGCAAAAAAATGCTCTGGGGTCTATGACGTCAAGAACTTGGCATTCCAATCTCAACGTTAAGCAACTTTCAGTATGATGTAAGGTAGGAGTTACGAACACAACTCCTGGGTGTAGCTACTTGGAATTGTAGTTGTAACCACTCTTTACATTTCACTACACTAAAAATAAATATCTACATGAATAAAAGATCACACAGATGAGGCTGTTACCACTTTAGCTGGATCAATGAATAACTAAAAATTAAGGAAATAATAATAATAAATTTACCACTCACTTTTTCTTGACTTGGGAGGCAGAAAGGTCTAGTGGATTGAACATGGCCTGGGACCAGGAGCTATAATTCATGAGTTCTGCCATGGACTCAATGTATGCTCTTAAGCAAGTCAATTAGGCCAAAATTTTCAGAAGAGCTTAAACTAGCCATCTAAGTCCATATTTAGGCACCTAAACAAGTGGCCTGAGCACCCAGCAATTTCCACTGAAATCAAAAGTGTTCCATGGAGGAAGTCATTGGGAGCTTGAAAATGAGGCTACCTATTTAAGTACCTAAATGTGGATTTAGGAACTTAACTTTAGGCTCATACTTTTGAAAATCATTGCCTTAACCTTCCTTTGCCTCAATTTCTTCATTTATAAATCACACATACAATTGCTTGCTTATCTAACCCGAATGTTGGGAAAAACGGAGTTAACATTTGTATAGCACTTTGAAAATAGAAAGGATACGATTTTCAGACTTGAAGCCAATGGGTCTATGGCTGCTCAGCAACGCTGAAATTCAGTCTACGTTTGTTTAGGTGCTTAAATAAGAATTTAGAAGGGAAACATTCAAAGGCACAAATAAGAGCTAGATGCCCAACTTCCATTTGTGCCTTTGAAAATTTCCTCCTAGTTGATTAACGTTAAACACAATGGTTTGAAAATTTTGGCTGAAGTAGTAAGCATTATTCTTATGGTGAGGCAGCTTCTTTCGTGCTGGAAATCTGACACTCAAGTGTTTGATTCCTGAGCTAATGTTCAATAAACTAGATTTGTAGGGGAAAAACATTAAAAATACTGAATTCTGAATGTCTCATTTTAGGAAAAAGTCAAAAAAATTGTATCTATTGATATAAGGAGGCTTAAGAAAATGTTCCTCTTTGAATAAAAGGTTCATGTTCTTATGCCGAATTATGAAAATAATCACAGTGCTATAAAAATCACATTTTAATGGCACTGCCCTACCCCAGCACTAGCATTCCACTGAATTGTTTCCTCTAGCATGGCACAGCTGAAATGTGAACTGCAGTATCTTTATCATTTTGTCTGATACGAGCAGGATTTTTTAGAGAGCAAATTGGTTTAATTTAAGTGATGCCGAAGACTAAAGTTGTTTAAGCTGGTGGCAATAAGGCTTAATACTAGTTAGGATTCCTGGATCACCAGTACCAGACAAGTAGACTCCTCTGAGGAAGGGTGGAGATACTGATCTCTAGCAAGGGGATAGTGATGTGAATAAGCCTGAACCAGTGTTTTCCAGTTGACAAACAGGGAGTGCAACATCAACCATCCCACCCTAGAGTATTTTCTTGTCGTGCCTGCTATTTTCAGGATACGATGTACACAATGGACATACGGACACCTGCACTGCAAACGAGATTCATGTGCGCTTCAGGCTGGAAGAGTAATTCTTGGATCTACTTTGGTTTGCCCTTTGTTTTGAAAACTTCAGTTTGGCAACTCCGCTGTTGCCTGTTAGGAAGCATTACATCAAACCATGCCTAGGGACATGCCTAGAGAGACTATAACAGCCAGTCACACTTGCATGCCTGCAACTTGTTTCAGTTTTGCACCTGTGATGTGTAGGTACAATTGATGTCATTTAGAATTTGATGATTAGTTACTTGACCACACCTTAACACTATTTATAAATGGGCATCAGTTGTACCCTGAATACTTGGGGGGAAATTGGAATGCAAAATTGAAGGTGAAAAATTGAATACTCAGCTAAGGCTGGGCTGAAAATTGAGCCATGTGGACAGATAAGTCTCACAGCTCTCTGATTGGAAAGACCAGATCATTTCACCTTGGAGACTACTTTGCTTCCACTCTCCGGGGTTAGAAAATACTTCCATGACATAATCATACAGGTAACATAATCTGTTTGGCATTTGCCAGTGTAGGTGTATGGTATGCCATTTTGTAGATACAAATTAACTACAAGATTTTAAAATTGGCTCTGAGTGGCAGTTGTGTTAGAATAAAACCGGACTTGTGGAATTATATATCACATCAGCAAACAAATGTTCGTTTCTTATCGCTCTGATACTATAGGAGACCTTGAAGTTATTAATAGGATTGTATAAGCACATAGAACTACTCCATCATGGTTTTCTACTGTCTCCAACACCAGCCTATAGCAGGCCCTTTAAAAGGACCCAATGTTGCTCCCTTTTAGGTGTCTTCTAATCAATGGCAAAATGCCACTGACTTAAATAGAACAGAATTGGGCCTAAATACATTCTTCCAAATGGTAATACAGAAAAGTTGCATCCGCTCACTATAATTATTTGTCCATCTTATTTAAAATACGTGTGTACTCCTCGTAACTACTGTGGGAGGTCAGGTCATTGCCTCAATCAAAATTCTATCACTCACACAATTGGAACAACAAGGAGTCTGGTGGCACCTTAAAGACTAACAGATTTATTTGGGCATAAGCTTTCATGGGTAAAAAAGAAGTGAGGTTTTTACCCACAAAAGCTTATGCCCAAATAAATCTGTTAGTCTTTAAGGTGCCACCAGACTCCTTGTTGTTTTTGTAGATACAGACTAACACGGCTACCCCCGATACTTGACAATTGGAACACTGTATCAGCTGATATGAATCATGTTTTTGGACTTCTATTAAAACAAATATGTAAAAGGAACAAAAAATACCCAACGCACAAACGAAGTGCTTTCAATGGAAATTTAAGGAAGTAAGCCACAATAGTTGCTTATCCTTGTCTTTTCATTTCTCTCCGTCTGCTATTATTCATTGTCTATCACTGTATCTGTGCAATTTAACTCTAATGTGTTGTGAGCTTCTAAGATATAATTTGATCAGACACTATTGCAAAAGCAATAGTACTGCATCGTATTGTATTGTGATACTGTATGTGGTTAGTCTGGGTCAGTGTAGCAGTAGCAGAGTATATTTGCTAGTGTGCGCTGCATTTTTCTCCCATTCTATAGCACTTGGAGAATACCACACTTCTAATATGTTCGACCAGTAAAACAAAATAAAGCATGAAGCATATTTTCAATCATAATGACTTCAATCAACAGGGGACACTGATTATGGGACAACAGTTCTTAGAATGATATGAGTTACAGAATTTGAAATTCTTAACTTTAACTAGCCATGCAACAAATTCCAAGCGCTTATACTACATGCTGTAGTATAAACCCCTATGATAGTAATGCCAGTAAACTAGTAATAGTCTTTCAGGACCCACCAGTAATTCGGTGTACACCCTCAAAACTCCTGTTGAAATCAGCGGGGCTTGAGGGAGATCAAATGCTTAGAGCACATTTTAGAAGAACCATTTTGTAAAAGGACTTGTCACTTTTAAGAGGAATGGAACTCCAAATATTTTAATGTAGAGAGACTTTTCAGCCCCTTTTACTATGAAGTGCTACAGCAGCTAGATATGTTGGCTTATCTTAAAGTGGAACTTACTTGAATGGGAGTTTCTCATCATTTGGCTTGATGCAGCGCACGTAGTGTGGAGTGGTAGCATTCAGCGTCTCCATCAATAAATGCAAGGAGTTTCGGAACTGAAAGAGACCAGAACAACAACAACAAAATAATCCATTAATCTTTAAGTGGTGGGGAGGGAAGGGGTGAATTTGGAATGTTGAAACTCTAAATTAGGCCTGAAGATGATAAGGGCAAATTTGGAGTATATTCTAAATCAAAGACAAAAGATTACTTTACAAGCAGACATCAGTGATAAGTGGAAGCCTGAACCAGCCTATGGGTATGAAAATAATATGAATTAACATATAAACCCAGATTGTACTCTAGAACTCTTGGTTCTACACAAACAAACACAAAAGCTACATCAAAGCAATGTTGTAGGACAATACCAAGGGACAATTTTGTGGTTTGAGGCATCATCACTTCAACTGAGATGTTAAAGGATCCTTTCTATCTATCTTTGGTAGTTCTACAGAGAGAAGCAAAAAGTATCACTGGCTCTTTAAGAGAGAGCAAGGTACACTCAAGGTTTAACACCAGTATTTTCAATAAAACATGTTCCAATGAGTCCTGCACCACCCTTTGTGCTCCTTATTCCATGTCTCAATCATGGCCTATCAAGACTACTGAAGTCAACTCTTTTATGGTCTTCCTAAATCCCTCCTCTCTAAACTTCAGGGGGAAAGCCAGATTATTCAGTCCACTCCAATAAGCAGGCCTATCTTAAACTCTCCCTCATCATCTTTCACTCTCAGTGGCTTCTTCGTAATCTCTGCATCAAATTCAATATGTCCTCCTGCCTTCAGGATTCTATTTATGACCCTGACTTCACCTTCCCTCTCTAATCTCACACTCATCTATTCCTTTGACTGCTCATTCTGCTCATCTCTTTTTGCTTTCTCTCTGTCCAGTTCCCTTTACTCTGCACAACTGGAGGTTGCTTGTCTATTTGTGTCTCTCCATCTTTGAAACGCTCCTCCTATCACTGGCATGTTGAGCCAGTTTCTCTTTTTCTACCACTTTTTTTCTCCTCTGTATCTTATGGCTGACCCACATGGTAAATAGTTTTGTGACCCAACATCCGAAAGACACCGCAGTGCATCGTAACTTTAAATTATTGCTGTAATATCCAAGGCTGAGCGTCTACTATCGTTGACTATTACAAATAACTGCCCCACGTACTATGGTCACTACACTACTTTTTACTTCATTACTTTGCAAAGGACTTGGGAAGAACTAGAGAAGGAAAATTGCTATGTAAAGGACTAGGCTTTAAATCCAGTGAAGACTTTACCTGGTGCCCCACGGTTTTCTTGTGCTCTTTGTTGGCAGCTTTCACAGCTGGTCTGGCAGAACGGACGCTGATTTTGGGGGCAGCTCCCTTTATGTTAGGAGTAGCAGGCACAGAATCCTTTTCATCTTGAAATAAGTCAGCTACCATTTGATACTAAGAGGGAGACAGGAAGACCGTAAGCATCTATACCATCTATTATGTTTACCAGAGGAATTGCACCCCGAGTCACATTGTAGCGAAGACAATTTGCAGGTGTTCTCAACCTAAACTTCTAAAACTGGGCCTGAGTTACAGGTGAGAAAAGGGCAACCAAACAACATGTCCAGGATTAAAAAATCTTGAATGTGCATAAACAGTGCCAGATAGGGCCATCGGGTATTTTGTTATGTAGGTTATCTGATGAGGACTTTCATTTTTGTTAAAAGACCTATCTGAACGGCTGTGGCATTTAAAGCAGAAATGCTGTTCAAAGCACAGGGATCAGTGAGAGAAAGGACAATGTTCAGTTCATACCACAAACCTCAATGGCATTGTTACTGTACAGTCTGCTAGGAAACAAGTCCAGCTGCTGGTATCTTAAGGGATTCATCTAGCGCTACCTGATATAAAACTTGCTCAACATTCTGTTCTCAGAAGGGAATGGGAGAGTTCTGCTACTGTTTAAAATGTCTCCTCAACAACAGTGACTATTCCTCCCTTTCAAGAAAGTCGTTCAGTTCTTCATGCAGCAAGAAACGCTGTCAGAATAATGTTCCAGTGCTGTCAGTGACTCACGGCATATTGCTTGCCATTTCACTCACTAAAATAGAGCCTGATTTGTAAGACAGACGGAAGCTTGCTGGTTCTGGGATTTCAAAGCCAGTCTTGTTTGTCAACCCAATCAGATCAAATTGGCACCCACCACCCCAATTTCTTGAATTTCACCATTTACAAACAGTAACAACAAAAAGACAAGGACAGACCGAGACCCATTCTGCTGCTACTGAACCTCCTCTTTCAACTCTTTGAAACTAAACCAGATGCTCTAAAAGCCTTGTGCCTTTGGCCATATAGCAGCACCATCCGTGTCTAACACAAAAAAGGAGCAAACGTGAAAGTTTTACAAAGCCAGGTAAAATGGGCCAGCATCTTCAAATTTCGATTAGGTTAAACACCTCCAGTACATACGGGCACGTAAATAAGCCTGGCCAGTTTTTTAGATGTGCTGAGGTCCCGCCTGTCTCATTCAAATCCAGTTACATATCTATTTATTCAGCTTTCCCCTTCAAACTAGATCTACATTTAAGTTATGGGTGTCTGAACGGAAAATATATATATACAGTATCTTTTATTCTTTGCTGTTCTTTACTATGGCCTGATGTGCAGACTACTAAAGTAAACTGCAGTATGATTCAACTGTTCAACCAGACATTAGTTAGCAAGGAAATGGAATTCCACCTCGACTCAAGTGCCCCAGGGTGTGGGAGGGGGTCAACGCACACAGTATGCTGACTAAGCGTGGTATAAGAACCTATGTAGACTAGAACAGAACAGACCGCAGCCTTGTGGTGCTTATGATGTGGCATGCACAGCAGATGAGTGTTTAGAGAGAAAGCATGGTAAACAGGAAAGCCCTGCACAAACCCACGTACTTACTTGTTATGCAGCCCCAGAAAGGTCTTGTGGCAAGGGGTGAGGGCACTACCTGGTCCCCCTACAAACAAGGGGTTAACCTGGGCTCCGTTTTTCCTTTCACCTTGCACAGGTGCTCAGGGGAAGGATTATAAATTGGCTGTTTGAGAGAGAGTGGGAAACTGCCTTAGGACCCACACCAGGGTTATAGAACTGGGTTAATCCTAGGTTGGGGGGGTTTAATGTTACTGATCCTCTCCCCACACTTTAGGCTAACTTGGTTGGATTTCTGATTATCCTTTGGAGGAATTCCTTGCTGACTCCTTGGGAGGGTTTGTTTCTGCTGTGTCTGTCCTCCACGGGACATGCCTGCAGTGGTGAAAGATTATCAGATTCATTTGTACCGGCAGTCCTTGGCCAGGAACTACAACTCTTTAAAGGGGAAGACATTCCAATCCTCAGTTCCTGTACCTATAGTAAAAAATAGGGTCATTTCCGGCTTCACTAGATACCTGGATATTTATTTGCCCAGCCTGGTAGCATAGCAGTCTAAATCCCACAAAGGAAATCAATCGGTTTACATTACATTATCATTTTGCTTAAGACAGCACACCCTGGGGGGTTGGCTTTATGCTTATGGGTTTTTATTTTAATCTCAGCAGCCCATAGCCCACGCGTCTCCTACCTCCAGTAACATGCCAAATGAAGGCTAGCAACTTCTTTAGCTAAGTGTCTCCTTCTGCTTCACACAGGCACCCTGACAGCTGTTTTATTTTCACAGAACTGTAATATCCCGTGCGCTTTGACTATTACAAAAATGGGATGTTTGGGTGGTAGGCGCTTGCAGCTGGAGACCAACCAACAGATTTCAGTTTGGTAGCTTACCTGACAATGCAATGCAATGCCATACAGTCATTTCAAGTTCTAAAATAGCTTCGTAGCACGCAGTTGTCAGTGTTTTTTTCATTGAATCATCTACCTGATTGACATTAACATCAAAGTAGGCACTCTAATGTTGAGGATGGTTAGTAAGTGCATGCCCCAATCTAGGCAGCAGATCCTCAGTTGGTGTAAATATTCAGAGCTCCACTGAAATCAATGGAGCTACAGAAGTTGGCATCCCTAGATGTTTTAAGTTTGTAAGTTCCTTTCTTTGAGTCTTACAGTGCTGAGCATGCTCTTGGCACTTAATAACGATAGTGAATTGTTATATTCTGTCTTAACAGCATATGCTCATGCTTTTGATCTATGATAAAACCAGTTCTCTCTGCTTTGAGTCATCTCTTTACTTTGTTTTGATACTATAGGGCTGCTGAAAACTAATTAACTGCTTCATAAGTCTTTTGCTGTCTGATTGGCCACAATAATTGCCTTCCAATGACTGTAATGCAATTTCACCTTGGCGGGAGTTCTTCAACAAGGATCTGTTTTCTGAAGTGAAGGTGCGTAAGCACTCGTGGTGTTCATTTCTGGGGTTCCCCCCCATTCCTAATACCATATTATGTATACTGGCCTGATCCTGCCCCACTGAAGTTTGGCTACTGACTTCAGAAAGAGTCAGATCAGCACAGAACTTTTTTTCTGCACATGTCAGTTTTGCTCATGTCTGTGTCCCCCTTTCCCGGCTCACAGAGGATGCTAGGTATAACATTACTACCACTAATGGAGATTTTCCTTTGTTTCACAGGGAAAGGGGCCTGCATTTTTGAAGCAGGAGGCCCAGATTGATATTTCCATTTATGACTGAAGTCCACATCGTGATTGTGTGAGAAACAGCTGATAAAAATAAGATCTATGTTGCCACTGAATCAATATCACATGATACTGAAAATGCAGCATTTTGGAGGCTTAGCTAAGGGCATGACTTCACTAGCAACGTTAAAGCCACGTTTAACGTGGCTGTGTAGTTGCGGCACCAGCGCTGGGAGAGCTCTTCCAGTGCTATAAAAAAACCACCTCTACGAGGGGAGCATATATGAGCTGAAACTTGCAGCGCTGTAAAGTGGCAGTGTAGACAAGACCTAAAACAAAGCAACCGCTGTACTGTACGCAGATGCACACAAATGCATATAAACTAGTTATAGACCGCCACATAAGTGTAAAGATATTTAAAGAAGAACACTCAGCTACAGCAGGTAGTGCGGCTAACAAGAATGCGAAGTGAAAATAAAATCTCTTTGCCTCTCCCCCACAGAATAAGATGCAGGGTCACGTTAGCTGCAGAACGCAGACAGCCAATGCAAAGTGCTGATAAAGGGTGTCTTTAGACAGCCAGTTCAAAGAAAGGAGTTACACCACCTTGCACATCACATCTACATTTGGCCCTGTGAAATTAAATTATGAAGAAAGAATCAGGGAGAGGGAAAATATCTTGGTAATAAACCCAGAACAAGGTAATAAACCCACAACTCAGGTTGTGCCATACTAAATGAGTGAACTGTAGGTGACAGATCTGTATCCATGGTTCAGGGCTGCTCTAATAAACTATCCCAAATTAACTGCAGTTCCCCTCCTCAACTGCAGCGTGAATGTAAGGGTTACAGGAAAATCCAACAGAAACCTTCCAGACACTGTCACCGCTGCAGGATTGCTCATGACAGCATGCAGGGAACTGGCTGAAGAATTCATGCAGCGTCAATTTCCTACCGATTACCTGGAGTTTTTAATAAGCTCTAATCATAGAGGTTTTTCAACGTAAATTGTGCAGGCTTCCTGAGGACATGGAGCTTTTAATTTTGAACATTATTAAAGCCCACTTCCACAGTCATTAGACCAGAAATTGCCCACGTGGACAAGAAAATTGCACACCTCGGCATTTTCATATGAATCTATCATTGCTCACCAGAGCAAACTGCTGACAATGCTCAATTAGTTTCCCGTTCTGAATCTAGCTATATTTATATCCGTATTAAAACTCCTGCTTAAAGTCCCCCCAAGAAATGCTTTCACTCGTCTCCCCTCTTGTCATGTTCTTGCTCATTTGTTGTGGTTTTGGAGGTCAATGGTATCCCTGCTAGTTCTTAAACCAAAGGAGAAAGGCATGACAAGGCTCCTGGGAAATAAACCAGACTTGAATGGCCTCGCTCCATAGCTAATGGGACATTGAACAGACTGCAGGAAACAGATAACACTGTGTAAATGGCAGGTTAATTTCACTTCATTGAGAGGCTTCAGATGAATGGAAAGAAAAAGCCAACAGAGACAAAAGCGGCCTACAGCTGAACAGGCAACACAGATGTCTGTTTGCAAGGTTAAGAATCATAGATTATTAGGGTTGGAAGGGACCTCAAGAGATCATCTAGTCCAACCCCCTGCTGAAAGCAGGATCAATCCCCAACTAAATCCCCAAATGGCCCCCTCAAGGATTGAACTCACAACCCTAGGTTTAGCAGGGCAACGCTCAAACCACTGAGCTATCCCTCCCCCCGGAGGGAGGATTCAACAGTTAGCCATTTTAGGAATGACAGACAGGTTAACAAATGCTTGCTCTGATCTGGGCTTTACTGGTACAGGATTCTGCAGCATGGCTGCTCTTAGGACACCAAAGTGCACCTTCTTGTCGAATGAATATTGTACCGGCCCTGTGCATACACAGCACTAGTGCTCTGACTGATGTCAAGATTTTGTTCTCCGAGACTGCAATCTACACCCTGATTTTAGGACTTTCCAAGTCTCAGTTCAATAGCTGGACTTTGTAGAACTAGAGGACTGAGTTGGTAAAATGAAAAACAAAACAACAATAGGGTATTTTTAAGTTGTAGGATGAGAATAAATAGGATTGTGTACTGTAGGATTGGACTAGTTTACAAGAATTTTCCAATACCCTTATGGTTACCTCATTTTCTTAAAATCAGGGAGTCAAAGAAAAGACTGCCTTATTTGAATTCTTAATCAAAACTATTTGCGGAGGGGTTTGCATTCATTTAAAGATCCTAAGAGTGTGATACAAAATGAATAGATGAAATCCTATCAGGAGATACGAGCAAGTTACTGAGATCCACGACTGGGTTCTATTCCGGGCATTGCCACTAACTATCTGACTTAGGTCAAGTCATTTAGCCATTTGGTGCCTCAGTTTACCTATCTGTAATTAAATATCAATTAAATTAGAAGGGACTGAGCTGCAAAGTTTGACTCTGGTTCTGCCAAAATGTGGGTGTTTGGATCTGGGGTTCTGGTTCAGGTCCATCTCTTTTAATAAATATTTGTACAGTGCTTTGAGATTCTCAGATAAGCAACCTGTAAATGCTAAGTCCTATTATTGTCAAACTTGACTTTTTCAGCCAATCTCATTGAGACCTTAAAAAATTAAGTTACATTTGCTTCAAATGTAAAATTAATGAGGAGCTCTCAAATTTGGTAATTTCACTGATGCACATTAGAGCTTTCTTATCTATTTTTAACACATTTGCTAAAGATGTGGACACTCCACTCTGTTGGCACAGCTTGCATGCTCCAGAAGCCAATTTTTTCTGGTTCAAGAAACCCACCAAGTTTACAGCGTGCAAAGCTGATGGAGCCTGTAATCTTAAGAGGCCAAAGAGCCCTTTATCAAGGAACTTATTATTCAAAGTCAGATACTCCATTAGAATTGCTGGAACTGGGAGCCAGTGACTTTACAGGATACACAGCAGAGGAAGCTACAGGGGCAGATACCCTGTAACATTGGTGTGAGATTATAACATGCTGCAGCTTTTCTGCCTCCTTTTCCTTGACTCTCGGGTCAGTTTCTTTGGTCCATTGGTCCGCTTCCCATTTTTGATGGTCACAGTCCTTCTCTAGATTATCCATTTCCACCCTTTTGGTCCACTCTGCAACTTCCAACTTCTATAACTATCTCAGCTCGTTTGAATTGTGTGGCTGCCTAATTGAGGGCGATGTCTTGGCCCTCGTTTCCTTTAGCAAGTCTACTTATTTTTTACACTTCCTTTTGTTCTATCCTCACCCGAATAAACAAATAGAAAACAATAAAACCGTGACCTCTGACACTTTTTCTCAGTTTCGTCACTTGAGAATCACTTAAAACTAATCTTCCAGTGCTTAAAGTGTAAACTTCAGTTAAAATAGCAGGCTGGGTGTACATCCTGTCTGACAACACCATTGTAACACACTGCTGGGGATACCGAGAGCTGGGAGCCACAGCATTACCCCCATGACGCAGCAAGGGTGAGCTTTGCTGGAGATTACATTGTGTGTCAGCCCCCTGCCACACCAGTCTGTCTTCCTCATCAGCAAGCTCCTCCAGCCCAAACCTTGCCTAGCAGGTAACAATCAGTGAACTCCAGCCCCCAAGCTCCACAGAGAGGTTTCAGGTATTAACTTTGCTGCACTTTTAAAGATTCAGTACATTACAGCTTATTAACTTAACTGCAGTAAACACACTCTTCAAACACAGCATGGATTGATTTATAGTAAAAATAAAACAAGTTTATTAACAAAAGGACATTGGTTAAGTGACATCAAGTAGCAGAGATAAAAGTAGAAATGGTTACAAACATCTAAAATAGGGATGTAAAAGGTTAACCGGAAAACATAGTGTTACTGGTTAACCGCCTTAACCGTTAACCCCCACGGCGCCTAGCCAGAGCGGGCACCGCCCGGGCAGAGCAGGCCCAGCTATGATGCGTGGCCAGAGCAGGCGCCATCCCCAGCTGCATCGCCCGGCCAGAATGGCAGCGCCCGGCCGGAGCGCCCCAGCCGCAGTGCCCGACCAGAGCAACCCCAGCCCCAGCCGTACCGGCCAGATGGGCCCGAGCCACTTAAATGGTTTACCATTTAAATGACATATTTTTTAACCATTTAAACGGTTAACTTTTTAAATGGTATTTACATCCCTAATCTAAAAGTGAAGACGCATCTAAAACTTAAATCTAGCAAGATACAGTCTTTGTTCAAGATGGTTTCTCTCACCCCAATCTCTTTTCCAGCTTTTGCTGGCCAGCCTGGCCAGGACCCATCACAGAGATCAAATTGTTTGGTTTCTTTGTCTCCAAAGGTCAAGGAGAAAGATGAAGTCTCTCTCTCTCTCTCCCTTATTTCCTCAAAGGGATTGTCTTTGTCTTACAGGTCAGGAAGCCCACCTAGGGCTCAACTCAGCTCTGCTTGCTGTGTCCCCCAGGGAGTCAACCCCATGTCAATGTTCTCCTGTGATTTTACAATGCAAATGCCCTTCCTACAACCTCTGATGGAAATGAACAGTCCATTGTCCACGTCTCTGTTCACATCTGGCTTGGTTTGCTACTGGTTTGCCTTCTCCTTTATCTGGAAAAAACCTGTTTTGCCTCCTTTGTCTTTTTACAGTCTCTAGAACATAGTATCAGAGAGTATCCATAATTCCTAGTGTTACTAGAAACATTTCAGTGATATTAATAACCAGCATGTTGTTAGTCTTTTTTCCAATGACACATTACATGACACCTTTCAGATACAGATTATAACAGTAGTGAGTTAGGATACACTGAGCTGGTCTGACCAGCTGAACTCACTGCTAGATATCAGGGAGCCCCTTGCCTTCTAGCATTGGTATGCTCTTAGTGTCACAGAGATCAAAGAACTTTTTTGTTGTTCGCTGTAAACCTTCATGTATTATTTGTTAATGTTGCACATCGCAGCATATATGGGCTGTAGGGTTATGGGAGCTGTGACAATGTTTGGAATTTCTTGTACACTGATTCCTTGATATTTCTACGTTAATGCTATATTAACTCTAATTTTTTTGCATTTTTATTAAATAGAGTTATGAACATATAGCTTACATGGAAGCAACAACAGTAACTGTGGTATACTGCAGTGAAGTAAAAAGTAAATTCTTTTTCATCTACAAGCATTGCATTTATGGCCCAGGATAACAGGTTAAAAGAAGTGCTCTGCAATGCCACCTGCAACAGATGGGTTTAATTCCTGATCATGATCTTCTAATCTCTGGATCAGCCAAGGCTGGAGGTGCTTCAAAGACCGTGCACATAGTCCCAGGGTGGGAGAAGGGCAGGAAGGGAGAGAGAAAGAAAAGAAAGCTTCATTGTCATTGAGCAGTGACACTTCTTTGGAAGTGAAATCACTCCCATGTAGACATCCAGCACAAAACCCACGCATCACTTAAATCCTCAAAATAAGGATTAAGTGGTGCATATACCTTGGGCTGGCCCTCTGTACTGGGGTGATCTTCACCCTGACTGACTAAGGAGTAGGGTCAGCAGGTTGCAAAGAGGGTTCCCATCAAATCAAGTTGATTGAAAGATGGTGGTCATGATTTAGGACCTCAAGCATGGCAGGGGATATACAGCAGGGAGGAGATTGCGGGTTACATGAATGAAGAGAACACCTGGGTAAAATGACAGTTTAAGTTCACTTTTTACATTTACTTTTTATGTTTGCTCCTGACCGTGTAGACTGTACGAGCTTTTGCACACACTCCTGGGTGTTTTAAAATGAGCAGAGATATTGAAACAGTTTAGCAATGCCAACTTTGGTTTAATGTGGACTATTTTCCGACCCTTCTGCTCTTACCTTGCTGGCTTTCAGTATGTTGATCTGTTCTTCATATACAGTGTCCCTATTTTTCTCCAGAAATCCATCAGACTGATACTCCACCTACCACACAGAGCAATGGAGAAACGGAATGGTGGTTAAACCCCTTAGAATGCGTCTACACTGCAATTAAACACCCCTGGCTGGCAACCATTAACTGAGTTGGGCTCCCACGGCTTGGGCTGTAATATGGTAGTGTAGACATTAAGGCTCATGCAGGAGCCTGGGTTCTGGGACTCTCCCAACTCTGGGGTCCCAGCGCTCAGGCTCCAGCATTGCAATTGTATAGTCCTGCAGCCCAACTCCAATGGGCCCAAGTCAGCTGACTCGGGCCAGCTACAGGTGTTTAATTTCAGTATAGCCATATCCTCAGATTAGTCCACATATTGCAAGTCTCTTGCTGTAATCACGATGTGTAATCTCTCATGGTTTTAGCCTTCATATATATATTGCCATAAACTCATTTGAAAGGTGGTGCGTATGGCTGAATGAATGGGGGTAAAGTGTGAGGAAGGTCACACCAGTTTATCTTATTAATGTAAAATATTTGAGTGTACGATACAAGGCATTACACAAGACTTAATTCAAACACTGTACATTACCCAGTTAGTACCCCCTTCAGGATCCAATCCTGTTCCCACTAAAGTCAATGGCAAAACTTCCAGGACTCTACCATTCTTTGGAAGACCCATGCTAACATTCCTGGTAAGCCAGTGAATAACCACCCACACCTCAGTCTCAAAAGATCTTGAAGAGCTCTGTGCTAGGTCTCACCCAATCTCTCTTGCAAGTAAACTTTTTTGGAATTTAGAATCAGTTGTTTTTCAAGTAAGACCTGGCCAAAAAACACTGAATGAGTCTTCAAAAGTTTGAGTAAAACCTATTTTTTTCTAATTAAAAATTCAAGCAAATTTCTAACTGTCACAGATCACACATGCAGAATTTGAAATGGGAATATCTTCTTTTGGAAGATTTGGTGAGAATGTGCTTAAAATAAGGTGTATAATGGAACTCGAGCCCCAGGCTTAACTGTGAATAGTGCAATTCACTCTCAAGTTAGTATAAAGAGACTCAGACTTTATTAAGGACAATAGACAGTACTTGGCTGTAGCATGAGTGTCACATGACTCCTTTATGCTTACTCAGACCTGCTTTTGATTTCCATTTTAAACACAGAGACAGATACATGGGTAACTACAACCTCTTCACAGATTCTTCCCTGCTCTGAGCAATATCCGTCAAATCATGTTTTAAATAAAGCTTGAGACCATTACTGGATGTTACAAGCATCAGCCTCTAAGCTTTGGAAAAATCAAAAGTTAGAGTTTTCTCCCTCACAGAGGAGGGAAAATGGTCCCAGTTCCACTCATATCTTACACCTGTGAAACATGAGATTTTTTTGGCACGCAAGAAAATGTCCTTGTTTCAATCTTTCCTGGATGTAGCAACCTCTACTAATGTTAATCTGAGCAGCTCTCTGAAGGAGGTTTGTTTTGTTAAACCAGAAGACTCAACTATCCCGGATTAAAACTCAGTACAAAGTCTAAAGCTGAGATTTTAAGTGCTTACTAAGAGATTTGGATGCCCAATTAAAATAAAATGGCAATTTGGCATTCAGATACCTTAGGCAACTTGGAAAGTCATGGCCTAAATAGCTAAATGTGGTTTTAAAAAAAGCTAACTCCTAATGCAAACCCCTTCCATCCTGGGTATTCATCACAAACTCTTGTGTTTAATGTGCTGAGTGTTTAGTATACGCCCTGATACCTTATCTGCAAAGTGAACAACAATGAAGGAGGTATTGGACATTCGAGGTTTTTGGAAGTGCTGGCTGCTGGAATGTCTGTCATATAATTTCTGTGCCCAGTTCTGGTCAGTTCCTTTAGGAACCTACAAAAAACAAAAGGAGAGGAAGAAAAAAGTTTACAATTATATCACATGAACTCTCAAAGGCATTGATACTACACACCTTAATGGTTTCATTATTTTAAAAAAAATTTTAGCCCATGTCTTATAGCCTTTAGAAGGAACTGGACTCAGCAGAGGAAGATGGCTTGGCACCAGGTTTAGGGAAGTCAGCCCACACATAGCGGGCAGCATGGAAGATGCAGAATTCAAGGCTGGCATCACCAAAATACACTGCATAAGGGAGCACAAGGATGAGTTTATAGTAATAGGTATTAATTAAGAAACCAAAACCCTAAGTTATTCCTCCATCTGGATTTCTCAGTGTGTCCACAGATCTTCAGCTGGTAAAAGTCACCATACCTCCATAGAAGTCAATGGCACTCAACTGATCTACACCAACTGCAGATCTATATATAGATCTCAGACTGAGCTCTTTGGGGCAGGGACTAAGTCTGGATTCTGTACAGCTCCAAGACCATTGCTCAACAATGAATAATGTGAATTACATCAAGAGTGTTGCCATTTGTTGCATTTCTTAATATCTGAGAAACAAAACACGCCATCATCCCAATCTCTCTTTCAGTAACCCAGCTCTTGTTGGCCTGATTGCTGCACTGTCATAGAATATCAGGGTTGGAAGGGACCCCTCACCAGTGTTTTCATTCAATATTGATGCAAACATTCAAATGATTTACTCAGGGTAAGACATTTTGCTATCCCTACCAGCAAAAAAGCAGTAATATTCCTGTGCTTGGGCAAAGTTTATTAATTGCTCAGGACAGAAATTTAATCATTTTCAAAACAAAGGCAGCCTTTTGCAGCAAAATGACAAGTTTTTTGTTTGTGAAAACCTAAGACAAGATTCTAGATTTTCTTAATATGCTTACAAAACAGAGTGATTTGGTGAGAAGCTTTTCAAACTTTTAACTGTGTCATCAAAATACCTCAAATTTGATGAACTGTGGGACTAGGTGTCTATCCATCTATATTTGAATTTAAGAAAGACCTAACAGCTTCTTCACAGAATTTATTATAATATGTGAACTCAAAGAACTGCAACCCCCCTTGTGATGTGATCTCATCACGTTTAATGGCTAAGCAAGGTCAGTCCAGGAAAGTACTTCCATTCAGGGCCGGCTCCAGGGTTTTGGCCGCCCCAAGCAGCCAAAAAAAAAAT